GGGGCTGCCTGCGAACGGGGAGCCGCGACCGGCTCYGGGGAGGACGGGGCGGCCGAATCTCCGAGTGCTGGATCCCTCCTTGGCCCCGAGCTGCTGAGGCGTGTGGGACACTGTGACAGGGACCGGCTCCTCCTGGCTTCTCTAGACTTGCGCCTGACGCCCCGGCTGGCTGCGCTGAGCGGGACCGGCCGCCGAGCGGTCTCCATCCACGAGGACCAGCTCAGGGAGCCAGGGAGCCTGACGGAGCTGGAAAGTAAGTGGGTGCCGGAGCAGCAGCTCCAGGGGCTGGGGGACGCGAGCCCTGAAGGGCACAGGCAGCGCCACGGGGGCCGTCTTGGCACGGAGGGGACATCCTAGACGATGGAGGGTGACGTCTTGGGTTACGATCTGCAGCAGTCAAGGACGGCTCAGCCGGAYGGGCAGAGGCAGCGGCAGCCCCGCAGCCGTGGCTTGCAGTGGGATGGCTGGGATGTTGATGGGAGCAAGGACACTGCCTCACCCAGGCAGCACGAGCCCTTGTCCCCCCGCCCACGCACGTATCAGGGTGCAGSTGCTGCAAGGGCAGCACCTCTGGGCGCATGGGTGCTGGGCAGTGGCGCCTGCTCGTGGCAGCCGCCTCCACAGCACTGTTCTCTTGCTCATGTCCCCATCTTCTCCCTGTTTCACCTTGGAGCTCAAGCCCACTGCCCCAGGCACACGGCAGTCTCATCGAACGCYCCTCACTGTTTCCTCCCCTTCCCTCCAGACGCAGCGATCCCCCTTCGCCTGCGGCGCTCCCCTGTGCTGAAGCGGAGGGACAGACACAACTCCCTGGCGGAGGCCGAGGCACCCAGCCCGTGCTCGGACACCGCGGGTAAGGCCGGGCAGCCCGAGAGCCCGTACTCAGCTGCCCCTTCCTAAGCCGAGCGGGGGGCAGCTCCCTGCTCGCTGGCACTGAYGGCCTTTCCAGGTGCCAGCGCCGCGGAGGCACCGGAGGAGCTGCCCGGCACGGAAGCAGGAGGAGCACAGCCCCAAAGCCCGGCACAGACTGTTGCGAATGCACAAGACTCAACCCAAGACTCAACCCTAGACCAAAGAAGCCCAGGGCCGGGCAGGGGGGAGCCGGCACCGTGAGCCCTGCACGTCGCCGCACCGTCGCCAACAGCCCCCASGAGCAAGTGTGGCGGCAGGGTGAGGAGTGCTGCGCGGGGGCAGCGCCGGCCTGCTCGGCACCTTGCTTCCGTGCCACGGTGGTGGGCACGCGGACAAGGGGCCGGCCTCATCTCGGCCTCCAGCAGCTGCTGTGAAGGCAACACGGCCTCCTTCCACAGCGGGGACAGCCTGTTTGGGGGCCTCACTGCAGCGAGGCTGGGGCTGCTGGCGTGGCTGAAGCGAGGGCCAGGCTGCCAACACTTCCTCGCAGGGCACRGACTTGCAGTTGCTTCTCCTGCCCGCTGTCCAGGGCAGTTTCACCAGGCCGGAGCCCACCCGCAGGCAGCGGAGGTGCCAACAACGCAGCTGCACAAAGCAGCCGCGACAGCGTCAATGCAGCGAACCGGCCCCCCGCTCGCAGCCTACCTGCCGCCCCTCCGCTCACGGGGCTCGACACTTTCTCCATCACCCCAAAACCCCGAGGAGGCACCAGAGGGACCGTTGCGGCCCGCGCCGCAGCTCTGGGGCCGCTCGCCTCAGCGACGCAGCCGTGCGGCCCGCGCAGCCACCGCAGCTCTGCAGGCGGCACCGGCATCGTCCCCAACGCCACGCGGCTTCCTCCTGTGCCAACCCCTCCGCCGCCGGCCCCARCCCGTGACCTACACCCCTGTCTACCAGGAGAAGGAAGACGCTTGCTTCCCCCTGCTCCGCCACCACCTTTTCTTTTTTGTTTTTCTTTTATACAAGAGCTGTGTATTTAAAAAATATATGCTTTTTATTTTTAATTTCCGCAGCATAACCCTGAAGGATATTTTGTAATGAACAGCACAGGACCCTACCCCAACCAATCAATAAACCTCCGAACTACTGCACTGACTTCAGAAAGGAGATCAGCTTGCAGGGCCCCTAGGCTCCATCCCTGCCCTCACCGCTGCCTCTACAGCGGGACCACAACAAGTCCCCTTTCTGCTGGCCAGGCCAGGTCATCACAGCCAGGCTGTGATGCTTCCAGCAAGGAAGAGCATKCCAAGGAGGTGGGAAAAGGAGGCTAACTCACCAACAGGCCCTGTGCTAAGTCACTCCCCAGCAGCCCTGCTGCATGGAGCCCTTCCCTCGCTCAGCGGGATGGTGCTGACCACTAACAGGTCACGTCCCCAGCATCTCTGCAACCAGGGTCTCCAAAGCAAGGTCAGCACCATGCAGCTGTCCCCTTAGGAACATGGCTCTGGTTGTGTCCCCGCTTCCCCTGCTCTAAGTAGAGCTTCTTGAGGAGAACTGGTGAACAAGTAAGACGAGAGGCCGCTCGCAGCGCGCTCGGGCTCCGCGTGGTCTTGGCTCAGGAGTCCGCGTCCCCCTCAGTGAGGATCCAGCAGGCCCACTTCAGCATTGCCTTCGAGATCCTGCAAAAGCAAAAGGTGAGCCAGGGTGAGAGGGAAGCCAGCTGGGCCAGGGAAGGGAGACTGAGGGGACAYGTGAATTTGCCTGCCCAGGCACTCAGGTGCAGGGATGCAGCGGGGCTCTCATGCTGTGATGTTACCCATCACAGTCAGTGTCAGTGTTCGAGGCGCAGCAAAGAGGTAGGGATCCGGCGTGGGGGTCCCCAAGGGCGCAAAGGGCAGGGTCCAGGCGCCCCAGGCCAGCTACAGGTGCCTACAGAGGCAGGGCTGAACGCGTCCATCGTGGCACTGACCTGACAGATCTTATCTGCTCGCAGAGCTCAGGCGATGGGGGCTCGTATTTGTACTGGGGCGGCTTGTCGTTCACGTACTGCAGAAGGGAAGGGAACAGTGAATCTGGAGSTGGAGTTTGCCCTGTGTTCCCCTGGGCAATCAGCCACAAAAGCAACACCGCCTCTCCACGCATCCCAAGACCTTGATAAGCAGAGACAAAGTCAGGGGTCTTTCCCTCCCTCAGGCCCAGGTCTCCTGATCTTACTTTACACCTGGAGATGTGGCAGAGGCTCCAAGGAAGTGCTGATTTCCACCCAGCTAGGCAACGTGCTCCCTCCCCAGCATGACCACGTCCTCATYCAGCACCCCGCTGCCCCAGAGCCTCTTTGACCCCTGTGCATCTGCTCTTTGGGAGACAGGGAGGGCTGGCTCTGCTGGGGCCACTCAATCTCCACCTGCTTTCAACTGCACAACCCCACTAGAGCCAGCTCCTGTTACACGGGGACAAGGAGAGGCCCCTGGTCCCTTCATCTTTACCGGCTGCAGAACTTCACGTTGCTCTCGCGTGGAGGCCAGCCCGCTCGCTGAGGCTGCCTGCTCAGCCTCYTCCGCAGGAGCTTCCTCCTCACGCTGCAGCCTGGTCTTTTCTTTCCTGCTCCTCTTTGCTCCCTGGTTCCTGCTCGTGTCGCTCTCGCTGCCCGAGGGGGCACCCCTGGAATGCTGCTTGTCCTGCTGGCCCCCGGGGGACCTATGAACGTCAGGCAGCGYGTGGCCATCTCCCACCAAGAGCTTCCTCTTGGCACCCACAGACTGTCTGCTGCCACGTGGGGCTTCTCCCTGCTCGGTCCTAGCACGGGACAGGCCAACCTTGTCCGCATCCGGAGGGAAAGCTGCGCCGCTGGAATCTGCCTGCTGTCTGTGAGGTGCCCCCACAGCTTCGGATGCCAAGCRGCTGCTGGGCAGGACAGGAAAGGCCGGAGAGAGGGACAAATTTTCAGCCTGGAAACATCCTGACACCTGGGGGCCTTGAGCAGCACCAGGGGCTCTGCCGGTGGTCTCTGCAGCTGGTGTCCCTCGAGACGTGCCGGCCTCCGCAGCGTCGCCGTACGAGCAGAGCAGCGACGGCGACGACGTCTCCAGCGGGGCGTCCTGCAGCACGTCCTGGCTCGAGGACTCCAGCAAGTCGGGGGTGTTGCTGTCAGCAGCCACGTTCAGCTGGGCCTCTGGGGCATGTGGAGAGCCAGACTGAAATGACTTCTCTGGTAAGAGAGAGAACAGCGTCACGCTGGGCAAGAGGGAAAGGGAGGTGCTGCTGGCACCATGGGGCAACACACCCTAACACGTGGGACTGGGGAGGAGGCCATCAGAGCTGACATGAAGCAGGCACAGAGAACCTAATGCTGGAGAGCCAAGGTGGGCACAAGACTATTCCTGGCCAAAGGAAAGAGTCCGGCATCAAAGAGGAGCTCTGTGTTCCCCCCGTGAGAYGCACTGCACCCTGTGCAGCACGGGGACTCACCTTCCGAGGAGTTCAGAGTCAAGGACATGGGAGGGAGCCTGTCCCAGGGGTTGTCCAGAGATGCCTCCGAGTTCTGTGACAATGCTGTTGACTCCACAGCTGCAAAAACAGGCCCGGGAACTCCAGTGAACTGCAGAGCTAAGAAAGCTACTCTCCACTTCCAACCTTGGGATGGCTACAAAGAACTGTGTGCTGGGTCTCAGAGCTTGAGGGGGGTGCTAAAGCTTCACATGGCCCTGGGTTGCCCGTTCCCATCTGCCTCACTTCCAGGCTCCTTCCAAGGCTTCAGGGAGACAGGACAAGGACATCCTTCTGTGTCCCTTTTTCAGTGGGACTACCAGAGAGACTCCTGTCACTGCCGAGGCAGCTGGGGCACTGCTGCGTCATGCTCACCGAGCCCACAACACCCACCAGGAGAAGAGCRCTGCCACCCTTCTGCACTCTGGCACACAAGAACCCACCCTAGAAGCTGCTCATGGCAGCTGCYGTGCAAACGTGGGGCAGGCATGGGCACACTTGCCACAACAAGCACGTATTTCTTAGTGGCTTTCCTGCTGGGCACAGCTATAAGTCCTGGTCTCCTAAAGACTCAGCTCTACTGGTGCTTCCTCCTCAGTCCTTTTTCTTCTTGAATTAAGCAGAATAAACTTCAGAGAAAAAATACTAGGAGCATGGACTGAAACTGTGGGTCTGGCTACTCACGGCTGACTTGAGATACAACACTCTGGTCAACTGGTACCATCCGCTCATCACTGCTCTTCCCAGGAGTAATTTCATAAGCATCTGCAATGACAGGGGCACCACAGGTCACAGCATGTTGCAAATGAAGCACTCTTCCCCATCCCAGAGAGGCCCAAGCAGCCCAGAGGAATTCCAGGAACTAAGAAGCCAAGAAGGAAGACGGGCCAGGCAAACTGATGACCTACGCAACCTACAGAGCAAACAAACTCCTCAAGATGCTCTGCAATTTGAGGGCCTGCAAGTGCTAAAATTTCAACTTCTAGGCATTCAAATGTGTCTAGGTGTCCAAATCATAGGACATTAAAGTCCATATTTCACAAGCTTGGGCTCTGAACTGCCCACCTGTGACCTCCCTGGTGAAGGGGAGCACTGACCTGCATGGGAGGCAGCGCAAGCTGCCTCCTCAGGAGGGATCACCAGGATGTTGGCTGGGACCATGAAGACATCCTCATGTGCCTGAAAGGAGAAGCACCACTTGGCTTGTGCTGTGCAGTCCCATGGCAGCAACAGGAGCCCGCTCAAAGCCAAGAGCTGAAAATGCCTCTCCACAACAAACCTCCAGCTCTGCCCCCTGTTCTTCTTGCACCCTCCCCCAGAGCAGCCTGTCCCCGCAAGGTAACACAGCCCTGTCTCGGTCAGGGCCAGCGCCGGGTCACACACGATCACAGCTGCCCAGCCTGACCTCTTTCTTGCGCTCGGCCTCCCACTGGGTCACAAGAAGCTCCTTCTCTGCTGCTGGCAGCTCCTTGGGCATCTGTAAATCCAAGCACTCCTCRGCATTTTGCTTCAGAACCTCAAGCTTGTTCTGCCCTATTGCATCAATGAGCTGAGAGATGGATGGCTCTGGAACAAGACGACGTGTATGTCAGCACAAAACCCACCTTCGTTCATGCACGCACCCTACACAGCCCCCTCTGCTGATGYCACGTGCACTGAAACCCCGGGAAAGGCACAAAATTCAGCCTTTCCTCTTYGTCCAGGAACTCCCTTGTCCTTTTTCTTCCCAGCCTCACGCACCTTCCAGGCACAGTACAAGGGTTACTCTGTCATGAACGTGCAGCCGTTTCAGAAGGACATGCAGTACGATGGGGAAAAAGGAACATCACCACGAGAGCAGAACCAGGGAACGGAAAGGCCGTGTCCAAAGCTCGGGATGATCCAGCAGAGGGGGGCAGCATCCTAGGCAGGACCAGGGGCATCGGGGGACCCACAAAGCCCTGCAGGCAAAGGGCCCTAGCTTGGATGACGTTTAGTCTGACACGTTGCTGCTCCCCACGGCCGTGGTGAGCGGGGGCATCCACCCTGGTCTCTGTGGTGAGAGCAGGCTTGGGGCTTCCCCCAGAAGGAAGAGGAAGGGTCCCCTTCTTCCCAGAGGGATAGGGATGAGGGCAGGATGTGTCAGGGACAGCATCCCATCCAGCTTCACATCCCAGTCCCTTAGCTCACCCGTGAAAGGGGCTGCGMAGAGAGCTTTGTGCTGCACCTGCCTAAAATAGGCCAAGCTCAACAGAGCCGTGAGTCCCCCACTCTGCTCACCCAGCTTGACATGCCCCCCCAGGACCCTTTACCTGAGCTGGGGTCACTCTTCAGGGACAGGCTCCTCCTGTAACGACCATTGAGGCGAGGAAGCAGGGTTAGCACCGAGACATGTGCCCTGTGAAGCTGAACAGAGCCTCCCAGCCAACCACCCTGCCTGGAACTAGTGGATTCCTCACGGTGGGCCAGCCCCAGTGTCACAGCATCAGCCCGCAGGGAGCCTTGTTCCTGCAGAAAGGCCTGTGGGGAACCTTCCAGGTCTGCACAGCTGGGGCTCCTTAGGAAATGCCCGAGTGAAGGACAAGCTGTGCAGGGTCTTTGCTCAGCCTTGCCCAGCTAAGCTCATTGCTTTGCACTTCCCACTAAGCTCATCTCATCCTGGGGCAGGGAGCTGCACAGTTTAACCCGGAGCTGCCACAGAATGTGGCCACCCTCCCTAGCCAGTGGTAGCCACGACAGAGCCTGTACCGGATCCCRTAGCCAGATGGGCTCCCAATATATTCCCTGGCTCTGTACTTACAGCCACAGCTCCTTTATCTTCTGCACCACCGAGGGCTCCCGGTTCCTGAAATAACAGAGGGACCRGTTACCGCTCCRGCATTTCCTCCAGTTCTCTTCCAARGGGTGGGAGGTCTCCACACAACCAGGTCACAGCGGCAGCTTCCACCCTGGCACTGCCAGGGTACAGCCAGTCTCCCAAGGAGAGGAGACCGCCCCGCAAATCAGAGACCCCGTCCCACACCGGGGCACCTACCCATCCGACGACTCCAGCCTCTGCCTCTCCATGGGCAGCACAATGAACCGCTGCACGGTGAGAAAGAACTCGCAGTCCTCCTGAGGGGGAAAAGGAGCCCATGAGGCTCAGGTGAGCGAGGCCCCCCACCCCAGGGRTGGTGAGCACTGCTAGCAACCCTCCAGCCTCAGTGAGGGGCACCCAAAGGAACAGGCCGTCCCCTCCCCTTYAAGAGTGGGTTCCAGACTCACTCCTGGTCACGTCACTGCCCTTTTACTATCAAGAGTGTTCAGGCTGCTGCTCTGGCTACCCCAGCAGTAAAAAYTGTGAGCACAGCAAACAGGAACAGACCAAGGGCTAGCACCCAGTTCCACCAAGCAGATCCTCCAAAAGCAGCCAGTCTGAGGCCAGGAGTGCACCCTKGATGCATGTAAGGGGACAGCAGTGGCACGAGCAAGTGGCATGTGCCTCTGGCAGCCCCAGAGCAGCAGGACAGCCAGGGAGAGGAGGCTTCTGCTGCACCACGTCCATGTCACCTAGCACCCAGGCTTTCCACTGAGGCTTTCCACCCAGGCTTTTCCACTTTCTTCCAGGAGCTGGAGGCCAAAAGGCTCTTGGGTGTAAAGGTTTCCAGCAGTATGAGAGGAGCTAAGGCTGTCCTAGTGYGACTCTGGGCCACTGGCACAACCCATCAGCACCTCAAGTGTAAAAGCATGCAGGAAGCAAGGCCAGGTTGGGGACCAAGTCACTGTCACAGGGGAGACAACAAGAGTGCCATACCAGCCTGGCCTCCTCCCGGAAACACACCGAGTACTTCTGCAAGACGATGATTCTGCAGACAAGGCTGGAAAACTTGAGCTGCACATGGGAACTAGGGAAAGAGCAGAGCAGGATCAGCTTGCAGAAGTGAAGAAAAGGAGTCACCCCGACCCGCAGCGCAGCTCCCCTTTCAAGCCACCCAGGACAGACTGGAACGTGTCTCGGAATGAGCACAAGGGGCTGAACACAGCACGATGCTCAGAGCTGCCCTTCATCTCTGGCTCAGCACCAGCAACTAGCCGGTCACTCCGGCCAGCTGGAAACAGGGAGACTGTGGCCAAGTGGGGAAACTGAAGCAAGCTGCTAGCACTGAAGGGGCTGGAGGCCGAGTCAGCCTCTCCATCAGCTTCAATACCCGTTTTGGGACCTCTAGATTTAGCTCAGGCTGCACAATACAGCAGAATGAGCAGCAAGGCACCCACCTGCACCCCCAGCCAGCAGAAGCCAGAATCAGTCACTGCTCCAAGCAGTGWCACGAGAGGCAGAACACGAAAATCTGCAGCTGGAGACAGTGCCACAAAGTTCACGCTTCCCAGTCCRGGACAGCGCATCCCCTCTTACCCCTGGGACCCTCTCTAGTGCTGCTCCTTCCCTACAAACAACAACCCCTTTAGCAGASGGCTGTTTATGGGGCGTAAGGAACCCACTTTTCTTCGGCCTGCAGAGCTTCTGGCGTAAGGACCACGCGGATGTAGTAGGACCCATCTGAGACTTGCAGGACAGCATCTTGCAGCACCCCGTCTTGCCCTGCAGCACCTGGGTCACTCAAAACCTGTCAAAAGATGGAACAGAGGGGGGAAAAAAAGAGTAAATAAGCAGGCCAGGAGTCGTGGGTCTCCAGCTTGCATGTTATCTCCCCATATCAGCTCTTCTTCTGCTCACATCACCCGGAGCCTCACGCCCTGAACCCCAAAGCAAGCGCATCTCCCAGACGGCGGCGCAGCCCCCGTCCCGGTCCCACCAAACATCCCTGGGGATGTCCGCAGGGTGCTCCTGGTGCTGCGGGAGGCCCTGCTCGAGCAGGGGGGCTCACGAGCTGCTCTCCCCAGGCCCCTTCCCAGCGGGGCCTCCGTGCTCACCCCCGGGACACCCCCTTTCTCAGCACGCCCCACGGGCAGGCCCCGCGGCGGGACCGGAGGCTCCCGGGGAGGCGCCGCGGCCGCGGGGCTCCTACCCGCAGCACCTGCCCGGCCAGCAGCGCCTCGGCGCCCTCGGGCTGCCCGTAGCCGCGCAGCAGGGCGGCGATCCAGGGCTGCAGCGCGTAGAGCCGCGAG